GCTTGAGCCCAGGAGTTTGAGGTTGCTGTGAGCTAGGCTGATGCCACGGCACTCTAGCCTGGGCAACACAGTGAGACTCTGTCTCAAAAAAAAAAAATGGAACAAACATCTTGTTCTGAGAATTGATGTATCGATAAAGACACATCTATGTACTTACTATTCCTACTGATAACATGTACCTGACTTTAAACACAAGGAAATAATCAGGTGAATCCAAACCAAGGGCCAGTCTATAAAACAAATGGACTGTGCCATTTAAAAACATGCCGCAAGACAAAAAAAAGGCAAAGGAACTATTAGAGAAAAGACACATCCTGTGTGTGATCTTTGATTTGATCCTACATGAAAAATAAAAAGCTCTTGGATATTGAGATAATTAGGGAAATTTTAATATGGACTGTTTATTATAGTATTATGTCAATGTTAAATTCCGATTTTGATATTAATAGTTGTGAAAATGTTCTATTATCAGATGCATGCTAAAATATTTAGGGTGAAATATCATGATGTTCAGAAAGTATAAAACAGCACTGCAAATGTGCAACCATGGCAAAATGCTACTTGGTGAATCTATATGAAAGGTGTGTATACATACATGCTTATTATATTACAGCTTTTCTAAAAATTGGTTTGAAAATTTCAAAATTTTGAGACTGTCTCAAAAAAATGACAGGAACTTGAGGGGACAGCTATTTTACACCTTAAGAAAGTGAGGGGTGATCCAAGTAGAAATCTTGGTGGGGTTACTTATTCCAAGGGCAAAGGCACAGGTAAAATTGGGAGAAAGGTGGTAGGAAGAGATGGAGAGGGGCCGGATCCCAGGAGCCTGTAGGCCTTTGGGGAGAGCTTTGAGCAGGGGGAGTGACAATCTGTTGTGAGAAAAGGCCAACGTAGAAAAGGTCTAAGTAGGAAGACCAATTAAAACTAGAAATAACCCAAGTTGTAGGAGGGGAGATGGTGATTGTGGATATACTTTTGAAACTTGTTAAGATTTGTTGACTCCAGAATTTTTTTGGTTTGAGCAGCCATAGAAACATTTATTTTGAAACTAGAAAGACCACTTAAAAAGAGGTTGTCATCAGAGGGAAATCAAAAGATCCTTTTGGGATCTATCTAATCAAGCAGATATAACCAGAAAAGGGAGACTTTACTAAATAAAGCAAAATCATGTCTTTTTGCTTTTGTGATAGTTTTGTGTGTCAGTTTGCCAGTAGGATGAGAGATAGCTAGCTGGTTGAACATTTCTTGGTGTGTCTCCAGAAGAGATCAGCATTAGCTTGGAGTAAAGCATATCCCTCTCTCCCATGAGTGGGCATCATCCAAACAGTTAAGGTTCCAAATAGAACAAAAATAAACAGGTAGAAGAGGGCTGGAATTCTCTGCCTGCTTAAGACATCCATCATCTTCTAACCTTGGACTAGGATTTACACCTTTAGTGTTCCTGGTGACTGGAATTTTATACCAGCAGCTTTCCTGGAGTTCCAGTTTACAGATAGACTGTGAGACTTCTCAGCCTCCGTAACTGTGTAAGCCAATTCCTTATAGTAAATCTCATTCTAGATATATATCCTATTGGCTCTTTTTCTCTGAGGAATCCTAATAACACCTTTCAAAGCCAGTTGTACTACCATCAGCTTTATTGGTAGCTAACAGATACTGCGTTCTATACTATCCATGGGGCAGCCGAGATGGTTGCCTACAGGTACCTAGCAGCTCCTCTCCCTTTCTAATAGAACCCAGAGTTTTCGCTCAGGGGAAACTTGACTCCTCTCCCTTTTCCCAAGGGTGAATCTTGACTAATAAAAGGCAGTAATTCTTCATTGGGGTACTTGGGAAATCCTAGAGGGCTTTTTTAGTTATCATAGTGATTGGGAGGTAGTAGAGGCATTCAGTGGGCAAGGGCTAACCCAAAGTGCTAAGTATCTTCTAACACACCACAAAACGTCATGACGACGAATTACTGCACATCCCACAACATTCCCATCAAGTATCAACATGGCTGAAAACCTCAGCCTAGAATTTACTTTTCACATGAATCCCAAGAATCTTTTAAATGGGTGTTTAACAGTGAATTTTCCAGGAATGTTATTGTCTAAATCACTTCCTTCACACTAGAACATTAAATTGGATTTCTTATATTGATTTTTGAAAATACATGAATTTTCTTCTTTTCTTTTAAAAGATAGGGTCTCATGGTCTGTTGTCCAGGCTGGTTTTGAACTCCTAAGTTCAAGGGATTCTCCCATCTCAGCCTCCGGGGAAACTGGAACTACAGAGGCACAACACCATACCTGGCTCTGAAAAGTAATTCTAACACAATGTAATACAAGAATGATATGGTCACCTTTCTGCTTAAGTTGTAAGCATGTAATAATTAGAACTACCTCAAAGAATTTGGGACAAGCAAATACACTGAAGATGGAGGAACATGATAGAGAAAGAATCTGGGTTCCTATTATTTTTGAGCCTTTGAAATCAATGGACTTAGGACTTATTACTACATATTAGGTTTTTTTTAATGTAAGCCAGAATTCTGGCTTGGTTTTTGCTACTTGGAACTGAAAGCTACTGGAAAACAGCAGCCCTGGTTTTTATGCTAGACAGAGATTTAGAGACTATTTTAAGATTCCAAATCTAAGGTCTATAAGAGGGAAAGAAAAAAAACCTACCCAGATTTGCCTATGCTGATCATGGCTTATTATTTCATTATACACTAGCCCTTCCAAATCTCGAATTTATTTGCATTTTTAGCCAGTGCCAGAAAATCTTGTATTCGCCCCCTTGGGGAAGTATGAGTCGTGTCATATTCCTGAAGCT